TGGCTTAATGTTTTCACTTGTCCTACCTGAAATTAAATCTTTATTATTGAAACGGTTATCTATTATTATGTTTCCTAGCAACAAATGTTGGAAACAAGTTATGCAAAGCTAGCAAATGGAAAATGCATGTATGGGACGTTCGCTAGTTACTGAATTATCTCTGCTACTTAGCTAACAGCCTGTGTAACAAATATATTGTATATTTGTCAAACTTTCATGTTTTAGATTTTAAAAAATCCTAATATTAGTCACAGATCATCCAAATAAATACAAAATGCACTTTTTAAATGATGATTTCCTTTATTAATGCAAAAGTATGACAAAGTAACTGCGCCGCTTGTTAAATCATGAATTAACTGTGATTAACCACATTTTTAGAACGCTAAGTTCAATTTAAGTGCCACACCCAGACCCGATTACTGCCAGACCTGCTGAATCAAGAAATCATTTAAACCACTAGAACCTGTCTGACAAAGTAAAGTAGGCTCAAAGTTACAGAGCCATTTGTAAAGCTTTGCGACTGCAGTGAACCACGGTGAGAGCCATCACCCACACATGGAGAAAACTTGGAAGAGTGGTAAACCTTCACAGGAGTGACCGGCCTGCCAAATATACTCCAAGAGCACAGCGACGACTCATCCAGTGCATCACAAAGAGCCCAGAACAACATCTAAAAAACTGCAGGCCTCACTTGGCTCAGTTAAGGTCAAAGGTCACGATTAAACAATAAGAAAGGCATCCATGGGAGAGTTTCAGATGTTTAAATCAAATATCAGAAAAGTGATTTAAGTGATTGTTGCTGGTGCCGGATGAGCTGGTCGAAAGATTTCAGAATCTGGTGATCTACTGGGATGTTCCCACAAAACCATGACAACGAGTTACAGAGAACATCTCAAAAAGACTAAATATTCAGTGAGGAGCAGTTTTCTGTGTCACAATGCCTTGTTGATGCCAGCGGTCAGAGACAAATGCCCAGTCTGCTTTGAGCTGATAGCAGATAAATAACTGCTTGCTACAATTAGGAAGAGCAGCAGACGTCCACACGGATGCTACTCATGTCAGCTAAGAACAGGCTACAATTTGCGCGGCCTCACCAAAAATGATACCAGAAGGCGAGAAAAACATTAACTACTCTGAGAGCCTTGATTTTTGCTGTGAGATTTACATGGTAGGCTCAAAATCTGGTGTAAAAAACATGATCCACATGGCGCGTAACTTCTTGTCACGCTTTGGGCACCTTCCTGCCACATGAGCATAGTTTAAATTCCAAACCTACCTGAGTGTTGTTGCTGACCACGCCCATCCCAGTATGACCACGGTGCACCCGTCTTCTGATGGCTACTTCAAGCCAGAAAACGCAACACGTCACAAAGATTCAATCGTATCAAACTGCTTCACTGTACTCAAAGTCACCAGATCCCAGTCCAACAGAGCACATTTAGGATGTGGTGAAAAGAAGAGTCCCATCATGGATGTGCAGCACAAAAATCTGACGCTGTCTTCTTAATATCAACCAAAATCTCGGGGGAAGGTTTCCATCTGTGCCTCGAAGAATTCAGGCAGATCTGAAGGCAAAAGAGGGCCTGACTCAGCACTAACACGTTGCCAGTGAGTTTACTGTATGTGCTATAAATGCAACTTTTTAAAGCCCATTAGTTTGCTCTCGTTAGCACATAGAAGAACTCCAAACCACAGCTCACAGGAACAGATTTCCCTGAATGAAGAAATGAATACACAGCAAATGATTGACAGAAAAGAAAGACAACCTGGAACGTGCTGCAATAACACGGCGCACGATTCAGTTTTCTACCTCAAAATAATTAAAAGCAACATGCACGCAATGAAACATGCACAAAAGAAAAATGAATCACTGTTTCATTACTCATTTCACTTCAGCCCCCGCTTCTGTTTACTCACATTTCCACCGTACTGACTGGAGGTTATGTCACCTTATCACTCTTTCTACTACAGGGAGGCCAGCTGTTGTTGAGTTCGGCTTACGCACTCCACATTTGTGTTTTGTCTGCATAATCAAGGAAACCAGAAGTAAACTGATGAAAAGATACAGGCCCAAATTACTCTGGAGGAAATGGGGAACAATGAGCAATTTACGCCCGCTTCTCGTCTCTGCTGCCCTCGCAGTACTGGACGTTGCTTATCACGGTCATTTACATCTTTCTATTCCATCGTTTGAAACCCAATCA